ACAGTTTCTGATATGATGTTCCCAGATACCCTATAACCAAAGTCAGGCTATTTTTCATCCAAGTTAGGAAACTAAGGCTTAGGGAGCTTAAATTACTTACTCAAGACCACCAGCTAGTGAGTGGCCAAGCTACAATTCTAGCCTGCATGTATCTGGTTGCAATTCCTGAATCATCTCCAAGCTACCTGTGCACAGTAAATCAAAGAGGGGCAAATCTGAGATATTAAAAAAAGAAAGAAATGCTACAGTGGTGTCTGGATGCTGGTGGGGTATTTGTGTAGAGAGAGCTGTATGCAGTAGGTGATATTGCAACAGATTTGGGATGGACGCAACTTTACTCTCAGAAATGAGATGTGCGTGGCAGGCAAATTTAAGGCAGGAACTTTTAAGCCACCCAGCCCCATAATTTACCCTATCTGCTAAGGAGACTAACACCCTTTCCTGTGTGTGTGTGTGTGGTGTGTGTGTGTGTGTATCATGGTTGTGTGTCATTCTGACATTCTAGCTACTGTAGCTACAGAGGAATCATAGACTCCTTCATAGCTATTCTCGGAATTCCTTAGAATACTGACCTATAGCACAATTCAGGCATCTACAGCTTGGGGCAGGAGACTCACAGATAATTCCAGTTGCAGTGAAGTTTGCAGTCTATCCACAATTGCACAGCCAGGAAGCCATGCTGGTTCAACTTCTGTTGCTTTAGACAAACTTGCTTTATTTTAGCACATTGTGACAATAATGGATGGGCCAGTAAATGTCGGATGCTGACTTATTTGTAATGTGCTGGTGATTTTTGTCTATAATATCAACTACCTTCTCAGGTGGAGCCATCAGCCTCAGTTCATCATAAAGAACGTGCATTTGTTTTTCTTTAGCTAAAGGTGGAAGATCCTTCCAGGACTGCCTGGTGAGGTCCCTAGTATTGCTCACTCCAGGTGTTGAACATGTAGTGACATTAACTAACAAGTGTTTATGGAGGGCCTACTCTGTGACTGGCATTGTCCTGACTCTGTTGCTAAAATGGAGGTGAACAAGGTATGTGACTGTCTTCCTCTCAGAGTTAATAAGTGATCTGAAGACAAAATACAGTAGGGCAAACACTTTAGTTTAAAGTTGCCCTGGGAACTTGTTTTATCTTTTTGCTCTGGGCCTTGTCTGTTTAAGAGGATTTTTGTCAGTAGAAACACATAATGAAGTTGTTAGAATATAAATAAGAAACAGAAATCAAGACTGGGGAATGTATAAATTAGAATGCCAAGAACAGAAGAAGAAAAACTCATAGCTTCATGAGTCATGGAGATCCACTTGGACTCAACTTCAAGTTTAGTGTTAAGTGTCCTGGCAGCCATATTGAGAAGGGAAATATGGTTAGTTACAAAGTGTTTATTGTCAGAAAGCAAAAGACGACCAGTTCCTCGGGGAAGGAAAGGCTTTCAAAACATTTGGCTTGTGAGAGAATGTCTCATATCTAGTTTCGTACCGTCTTTGACAATATCCCTACAGGACTGGGAAAGTGGACATTATAAAACAGTATGGTATAGCAGCTTGCAATAAGAGTGAGGATGGCAATTCAAAGTTCCATTCATTAAATCTACTTACAGAAGGAGTAGGTGGTCAGAAGTCAACAGATGTGGGTCAGATATGGTCCAGATGCTTTCATAGTTACAATTGGAATACCTGGGAAATGAATGGGTTGAATCCCCTGAGGATAATCTTCATCATCATTTCTCCTTACTGAAATTTTGATATGGCAGCTGGCCACATTTTCTGTTTTCTACTATAAGGTTGAAGGGTAAATATTCCAGGCTGTGCATGATGTAATTGTTTATACCCAAGGCCAGCAAACACTTTTGTAGAGAACTATATAATAAATATTTTAGGCCTTATGCACTAGATGATTTCTGCCACAATTATTAGTCTCTAAAACTATAGTACAAAAGTAGCTATAGGTAATTCCTAACTGAATGGACATAGTTGTGTCCCAGTAAAACTTGATTTAAAACAAAAAAACAGGGTGTGACAAGTTTCACCAACCTCTGAAATAACCTAAATAACAACAACAAATGAAGGGAAAGCATATCATTGTTGTCTTTGTGGTAAAATTAAGGAATGCTATGAAGCCTGGCAACTCTTGTTGAATAGTGACTTTGGCCTAACTGCTTTGTTCATAGTAATAATGATTTATGCTAGAAAGAACATGGCTCATGTATGGATTACAAAGTCATTATGCTCATTGAAGGAACATGCAGATCTCAAAGAAATCCAATCTAACTCTTTACATATAGAAGTGGTACTCACCAGACATGGTGCATTAGTTCTGTTTCTTGTTCCAAAATACCTGAGAAGAAGTGACTGAAGATGGGGAGGGTTAATTTTATATCACAGTTGCTATAGATATGATTCATCATGGTACAGAAAGCATGACAGCAAGCATGCAAGCCTACATTGGGGGAATGCTGGTACTGTGATGTCTTTCTGCTTTTTCCCATTTTTCATTAGTTGGGATTAAAGCTGTAGGGTAGTGCTTCTCACATGTAGAGTGGGTCTTTCCTCCTCAGAGAATCATTGCTGGAAACACTCTTACAGATGCACCCTCAGAAGTGTGTCTCTTAGGTAATTCTGAATGAAGTCAAGTCAACAATGGATATTAATTAACCTTACACATACATATGACATTGCAATGAAGAGGAGGGGTTGGTCTGGAAAGTCATGCATTCCATGCAGAAAAGAGAATTGTGATGTTGATTGCCTATAAGGGCTTCTCAGACAACACTGATTCTCAATTAAGCTCTTATGATTGGTGTTCTAGAAGGAGAGATGATGGTAAACTATTTTCAGCAGACAGATACATGCCATTCTCTCAGGTATCATTTCTTCAAGTTCAAACTGTCTTTATTTCTACTAATTGCTAATGATCTTCTATGTGTGTAGCATGCAGTATAACTAGTGGGGGAGTATGATTTTGTTTGTAAAGGTTTTAGATATAAATTATTACAAATTGATGATTCCACATGACCTGAAATCCTGTATACCTCCCACTGGCCAGTAACAAACCCAGGAGGTTCACTGTGTGATGGAATCTGTCTCAAAGACTTCAGTCAGGGAAAGGACCAGAAAATGTAGCTCCCAAGTTATTTGACACTTGCAAATACTGGTGTGTTAAGTACCTCAGCCTTAGAATTGCCTTTATCAACTTATAAATAAATCATACATAGTCCTGGGAATGATGAAGTATGTACTGGTTGCCCTGTGTTGAGACAATGAGATTGTATGCTTTAACATTACTAACAGTTTTGGGAGTATCTGTGAAAACTTAACTGTGAGCATATCTGTGGGACTTCTAGGAGTCTATGGTTTGAACATCATTTGCAGCAGGTGTTTTTGGATACTAGGAAATGTTTTCTTTTCCCCCATGTTTGCTTGCTCCATTTGGGATTTGTTGACTGTTCAGCTCTCTGGTGGCAAAGGGCAGCGAGCTAAGAAATGAGTTTTTGATGGTTGTAATAGATGACTCCAGGTTTATGAAGGACAAACATTGTGCCTTTACCTTCATAAACCTAGGACATAGCCCAGGTTTATAAAGGCAAACATTGTGCCTTTACCTTCATAAACCTAGGACATAGCCTAGCGCTTATTTCATAGGGCCGCTTTCAGATGTTAACTCAGTGAGTAAAAACTAGTACTTGGTTGCTAGTATGGGAGCTGATTCCCACTGGTTTCTGTTGAACAACTGTAAAATAAACAAAAGCTTTGCATCTGGGATTGGAACAAACCTTTTAAAACCATGCAGACGGGATCAAATGCCCTCCTGTATCAAATGCTGTCAGGCCTGGGGTGGGGTAAGGAACTGGCATTCAAATTCACATAGCAGGAATGGAGTGATTTTAATAATGCTGGTTCATAGTCAGCAGGACTGGAGGCCAGGGACATTTCCATGATAGATCACTTAGGGAAAATGCCTGTCATTGAGGTCATCTAAGACATCTACATTTTATGAGTGGCAACTGGTGACACACTGTGGGCTCCTCTTTCTAATGCTTTACAGATCAGACTTGCTTTGTTAACTGCCTTTAGAATGTATTTCCATTAGTAGTCTGAATATGATCTTATGGTCATAAAAGTATGGCCATATTTTACTATCCCTGTCATGAATGAGGAGAAAATACATATAATAGGGGCATTCTACACTAAAAGCAAATGTAATATTGGATAGCACTTAATTTACCTGGCCACAACTCTGTCCTGACCCCAAGCTGGTGCCCGGCATTTCTAGGTCATCTAAGATGATGACTTTGTTCTCAGCAACATTCACAGCCTGGAGGAGGGGCAGCCCTGAACATTTCATTGCAGGGTTCTACCACTGTGATAATGGGGAAGGGGTTAAGCTAAGCCTAACAGTATATGGGGTAATCTGAACCTTAAAATGAGAAATTGTTACTTAGCCTGTTGGTGCACACACGTAATGCCAGTTCTTGTAAGGTGGGGACAGGGTCTTGAGCTCTGGGCTCGCTTGGGTGACATGGCAAAACTCAGTCTAATAAAATGGGGTGGGGTGGGGAGGGAAGGAGCAGAGTATTTCTTATTGCAATAGTTAATTTGCTTAATGCCTATTGCAGTCAGATTTATAAGGGTTACCCCATGAATTTGAGAACATTTATTAAATGGTATCCTATCCCAATCGTCTCTGCTATTTTTACAATCCTCATAACACTAGACCCAGAAAAATCTGAGCATATGGCCATGGTTTGGCTCTTCAACACCTGCCAACATTAGCCACAGAGCAACAGAAATAGAATCAAGAAACAAATGGGTAACCTCAAGTAGCTTTTGGGTTTACCACAGTGTTACGCTTGAATGAGTACCCAGAGCCAACTAGAAATTGGCATGGCCCTGATGGGATTTGGTGTATAGGGCTGTTCTGATTTCTGTACCATGGATTGTTTATCATTGCCTGTGTATTCACTTGTTCACTGAGCCATTTGGGATGTTCTTGGTCTCAGGGCCTGAGGATCATTTTCTCCGATGCATCACGGCTCATATTCCGGCTCAGTTCCTCCAGTGGTGTGCGGGCCACCATCAGACTGTATGCAGAGAGCTATGAGAGGGATCCCAGCGGTCACGACCAGGAACCACAGGTACATAAGCACAGCTCTGCTCTTGGCATTGTGTGTCTTCTCCTAAAGCTTCCATGGACCTTTGATGGAAAGACGTATTGATAGCTTCAGTGGGAGGCGAGTTGTGTGTGACCTCAAACAGGTTCCATTCTCTCTTTGAAGTGTTGGAGGCAGAAGAACTTCTCTCCAGGATCTAGGATGATTTCAGGTCAGGATTTCCCAAATAATTCACCTCTCTTCAGTGTCCTGTGGCTTAATGTGGGTTCTAACAAGAAAAGGTGGGTTGTATAAATAAGAGAGTCAAAATTTTCAAACCCTTTATTGTGCTCAGTAAATTATTTATCTTTAGGTATTAGGAAAACCTGGATTGGACCATGATATTGAGGTAACCATATGAATACCACTCTGCGATTCCTCTCTCAGACTGAGGAAGCACTCACAAATGTTTTAGTCATAGACCATTGTACTTCTACATTTACTAACACAGCAGACAAACTAGACAGAGAAGAACCCACTCCACTGGGTGCATCATGCTGCATTGTTGGGTGCTCTGGTCTCCTTGATCTCCCTTTCATCAGGTTTTGTGGGTGCTTCCCTGGGCTGAAACATTAGCTGTGATTTTTTCTGGGAAAGTGGAGGGGCAGAAATCCAGGCCATTTCTCATTGTCCAGCTATCCAGGATTTTCAGCTTCATCCATCCTGTCTCCTGGGGCAATGCCCTTTTCTGTCGATAGTGTAACTTGTTCATGCTATTTTCTTTGGAGACTCTCAAAGAACTCAGTCATCAGTGTGTTGTGGATTCTTCTACCTGCTCTTGTAACTCAAAAGTCTGTGGGAGTGAGATCATCCTACATGGGGAAATAAAGGCCTGGGAGTCATTCTCGGGGTCACTTGGGCATGAGTAGACAGAGTCCATGACCAGCATTTAGTCCTAGCCTTTCCTCTCAGGAGCTGTCCATGCAGGGATGGGCCATGCTCTGCCAAAATAACTTGTTAGTGAGTACATTTCACCCTAGACAGTACCAAGCCATGCAAGAACTGGAAGGAGAGAGACTTACATTCTCTTTCCGAATAAAACTATTTTCTATGGCTCATGCTGAAAGGCAGGAACTCTGCACCAGGTGAGGAATGACATCTCTGGCCTCCCCAGTTCTGAGTCACTCTGACTTGAGACTTTTTTTTTTCTTAGCATTCTTTTCCCTATTTGCACTGGACAAGTGGTTAAAACACTTGCTTATTTTTATTTACCTCCCTTGCTGGACTTCATCCAGGACATTAGACCTTTCATACACAAATGCATCTCCGAGGTGGTCCATGAAGGCAAAGGGCACTTTTGAAAAAAGGTTTTCCTTGAAGCCAAAAATTCTCCCCAGGCCTGCTTTTAGAGGGTTGTGTGGGTAAATAAAACATAAACAGTGCTTGTTTTAGTTCCCATTACTGCATATTTTCCACCCTGTTGGGGTACTAGTTTGCCAGTTTGAATGGCCCAGGAATCCCTTCCTTAATGTTTCTCTTAGGATCACAGTCACTTTCTCCTTCTCTAATACAAGAGTCTTTCCCTAGACCCAAGTAGACGGGGCTCAGTACATTTATTATAGCACATGATCTAGCTAAAAGTTCTGTATTAAAATAGAATTCCTGATTAAAATAGCACATATCATCAACTCACTCACTGAAGCCCTATTGCATAATACATTGGGATCATGATACAATAGTCAAAATTTAAAAGAATTCTAACTCCATAAGGAAAAGGGAGAGGAGGGGAAAGGAGGACAGAGGAGAAGGGGAGAGGAGACGGAGGCACAGCTGGTTTACCCACATTAATCACTGTTTGGCTTCATCTAGGCCCTTCCATTGGAGGTTTTAAGCCTTTGGGGAACTGTTGCTTTCTGGCACAAACTGCGTTTTCCTTCTAAGAACCCTGAGAGGATGAAACTTTGGTTAGCCATTAACAGACATAAAGACACGACACTGAGATGCTGGCTCATCACTGACAAGCGGCCTAACAGGCAAGGGCTAGTTTGTACGTTCTTAGATTCTACTTCAGTTTTGTCATCTAGATTGCAGAGAACACACATACACACACACACACACACACACACACACACACACACACACACACCTATGAAAATACTTTCCAGGCCACAGCTCTGTTATGTTTTACCTACCTCAGTGCTGTGGTCATCTACATTCTAGTTATATTGTATGAGGACAGAGTTCCCTTCAAATACCATACTGGTGTCTGGTTATTTGACTTTGCATATGCATTGTTTATTTCTCAGATATTTAATGCACATGAGAAAGGCATTTTTAGACATTAGACTTGTTACCTCAAGGAGAAAATGTTCAAATTAGCCTTGTGATACAACCAGGAAACCCTGTGACTTACACGGGTACTACCCTCGACCCCTACAGCTAGAGTTTTGGCTGTGTTCTTTTGTAGAGGTAATTGTGCCATGTGTTTTAAGGTGATGTCAAGTAATCACTTCACTGACACAAACTTTTAAAACATTCTCTCCATACTTACCTGTGAGTTGGTGGTGAATGGAGGAAGGTCATGGGAAAGGTGTTTGCACAGCTTTGGTCCTTGGTATATGAAGAGAGAAAGCCTTCCCTATGACAGATGCTGAAAATCCACATCATTTTCAAACACAGTTACTTTAATTTTACTACCCAAGTCAGCTGGTGGAAATTTGTAAAAAGGGCTGAGCCAGATTGGATTAAATTCACAGGTAACAGAAATGGGAGGTGGTTTCCATATTCTCTCCATCTCACTTCTCAGCAGGATTGCTGGGTTAACATTGTGTTTGCTTTATTCCTTTGTCCATCGGAGACCACGGGTGGAGTAGCCAATGCTACTCACAGTCAAAGGAAAAAAGAAGAAGGTTTTATTAGGGGCTAGGTTATCAGAGAATGGAGGTCAGCTTGGGACTAATCGAGATGGAACCACACCCCAGCCCATTCCAGTCTTGGGAAGGAGCCAATGTTCTTGAACCTTCTTTGAAACTGATGAATTGACAGATTTTTGATAAGTTGCATCTAGCAGATGTGTGTCTAAAGCACCAGGGATCTTTTTATGTTTAATTCACATGTCACCCAAGCCCACCTGCCATTTTGTTCTAACAGTTCTTATAATAATTTATAGTTCAAAAATAGACAATATAGAGTCTTTTTTTTTTTTTTTGTCTATGGCGAGAATGGACCAGCTAGGGCACTTTTGAGAGTGAAGGTATTTACTAATACCCATTGAGATTGGTCCCTATCAACTGGCCATGTGGTTGTTCTAGGGACATGTTTCCATCCTAGTGTAGAACTGTGTGGCTTCTTAGATGAGGGAGGGAGTGGAGTTAGATCAGAGAGGTTCAGTCCAGACTGCCATCAGAACCACTTAAAGAGATCTATAGAAACATCCATAGCAGGCCCCCATTCAGAGATTCAGTGGGTCTGATGTAGGACTTGTGATTTGTTGAGATGCTTCTAATGTTGGTTTTTAATGTGTCTGCAATGTGTCAGGCTCAATTCTAGATACTTCATATACACTGTTATTCCTCATTTCACTACCCTGATCCATGGGACAGGTCATTTCTGGATTGGTTTTGTTTTAAGAAAGATTTCTAAATGGATTAATGGTTGAGTCCAAAGAGCCAAGGATTTATCACCTGAACTTGAGTTCAGTGCTGCTCTGGAAGTTTAGTTTGGTTTTGTTATTAAGAAGTTTGCCTTTAAGGGCTGTAGGGATGGCAACTCAGCAGTTAAGAGGCTTATAGTTCCACATTTATCAGTACTTTGAGCCTCTAAACCTCAACTGTGTCCTAAGAACTCAGTAAAATTCAATTCGATTTCTTTTGCCTGACCTTAGAAAATGGCTCCACTTGCCTGTTACTGGTTTCTTCCAGAAGGTTCAGCTCATGTATGGCTAAGGAAGAAATACGCAGGGCCAGGTATGGGGGATGAGTGAGAAGTTTCTGTACCCCTCCAACACACCCCCACTCCTACCCCACACGCAATGCTTGCACCATAAGTTCTCCCAGCCCTCTTCAGGGCATTTTATGGAGGCTTCATTACTCAAACTTGATGGATAAAGCCATTGTCCTTGGTTGTTAAACTCACTTTAGGGGTCAAGGAGTCACCACAAGTTCAAACTGTCTAACCACATGGGTGTTTCCTTGTCAGACAGTGCCCAACCTGAAGACACCTTTTGAGTATGAAGTTGGATGTAGTTGGAATATAATCAACACAGACACTTACTACCCAGGAAGTTCCAATGGAGTTAGATCAAGGCCAGGAACCAGGAACAAAATGAAATATGGTTTTTACCACTTCAGACATACAAACATGGGTAAATGGTTAGTTTCCCCCCCTTACTTTTTATTAGCAATGATTATCTTTTTACAACATTATTAAAAGGATAATGTTCTCAGCACATACTGTCTGTGTTTTATAGCAAATAAAGAGCCTGGAATTATTAGTCAAAAGCCTGAATTAGAAATTGAGGTACTTATGATGTGAGAGTTGGAAGCATAATAGACTCCAAAGTGACATAAATAGGCATTACTTAGCCAGTCCATTTTCATGATACAATGAAAACATGTAGATATGAATGTATATGCATGTGTGTCTGTGAGAGAGAGAAAGCATGATTTTCAAATCATATGATAAACAAATAATAAAACACCATTTTGTTATCTAGAAAGAAAATCTGCATAGGAATGTCTTAACAACCACATGTTTGAAGAAATCCACGAGGAAATACTTCATTTCCCTTTTTGCCTTAGAATTTAGTATGTGTTGCTGTCATACGGCTCACAGCAGGAGGGGGAAGTGATGCAGAGAGAGTTTAGAGAAGAAACACGTGGCGAAAGAGTTGGGCTGTAAACTCTATGGCTGACTTAAGGAGCTGGCTCATTTCCTTGGAAGACAGGGTTGACCCAGACATCTTCAGAAATTTAAAAATAATATGAGGTGCTGAAAGATGACCAGCTGTTCGCTATGGCTAATGAATATGTAATTTGAGGAAATAA